ACTTATCTACAGCTTTCGATGTCAAAGCCAAAGGTCGCGATAACAGCAACATCCAACCAACATTTTACGTTTTTCATTTCACAACGTAAAATCCGAATTGGTATTAAATAAAGTATTACTTACTACTAAAATATTCAAATAGTAACAAGAATTTTAACAAAATGAAATCATCTTCTTTTCAAGCGACCAAAAAGGAAAGGCACACTGCCAACACAGAAACACCAGTAAATACTCAAAACAATTCCCCATCAGCGCCAACCAAAAACAGCCCAAACATTCCTCAACAACCCCAAACCCATCGTCACATCGAAAGAAACAATTCCACCTGTCTGCCAGGAATAAATCGATAAAATTTCAAAGGAACTAATACCGTCCACGGTCCATCAGTTCACCCCCAAATCCGTGGTCATCTGTCGCGGAACGCGAACGAGCCCCACGGGGGCCGCGTTCCGCCCCGCAGAAATTCCCCAGGAACCAGTCATCGGCACCCGCTTGTCCGGAATTGCTCCGCTTGTGATCGACGAATATGCATTCCCGACGAGGGAGAAAAAATTGCATCTTCCGGGCGGCATGCAGGAGGGTGGAGATTAGATGCATATGCATATGCATACACTGCCAGTCAAAAGTTTGCGACCACTGTATCGGTTAAGAAGATAACCCCTATTTAATAAAAACAACTTTTAATTCAGACCTTTCGTACGTAACAATTTAACATAGACTTATCTAAATACATACAAATTAAATATGAAAATTAAAGGAGAATTGGCAAATGTAAAACATATATATATGAATTCAAATATCATTTGATTGAAATGAAATAATCTTTCACGCTGATATTTTTCTTAACAAAGACAATATTTCGAAAGTAAAGGTTACTGCATGGTTACACTATAGTCAACTGAATTCATTTTAATAACGGCTACAAAAGTATACAATCGAAAATATATAGTCGTTTAAAAAATTTCAGACTGCCTTGACATTTCGTTGGACAACTCACTTTTGGAATTCTTTTTTATCGTTACGCATTGAATGCTGATCATGTTTTTTATTCGGAATATTTTCTTTTATACAGTGACTGAAAGTGCAGGAGAAAATAATTTGTACACTTTGTATAATCTTTAACTATGGAAGTCTAAAAATTACTGGTTAAGGTTACATATTCTCGTTCATAGCAACCAATAACAAATTTACTTTATTTATTTTTTTCCTACTTATTTAAGTATTTCTGCATAGCAAAAGTATCAATTATATAACGAAAATTTCACTGATTTCAAAGTTCACGATATTTCACATACACTTCTTGAAACCGCACGTCTATACTTAAAGGTTAACACTAAAACTACCGAGCAGTTGAATCGACTTTTTGAAATTCCTCTACGGAAACTCTAAGAGTACCTCTGTTGAAACTTTAATTGATTTACGCTGCTAATTCAATTTGCGTTTTGCTAAGTCAGTTTCTTTAATACTTTCTCAGAGAAACATCTATTGTCCTTTTAATAATTGCAAAAGGAAAAAATTAGGAATGGACAATTTCAACTTGTCCGGTATTTTTAATCAACACGTCGACTGTCATGGTGGTCATCGATGATCGAAGCTTCATATCGACTGGAAAATAATTATAATTTCTAAGATAACTGATATCAAATAAAAATGTTCAGTAGTTTAAATAATTAGATAATGGTGGAACCTAAAAATTCCTATAACAAGTAATTAACTTTCGCGGACGAAGGTTCTTTAGAGTATACAAAACTTTTGCAGATTCTGCCAAATTGGGTATTGAATGCTTAAATAATACAGAGAAAGGAAACTATGTCCAACATTTTCTAATGAGATAAAGACAATATTTTGAGAAACTAACTCGACAAAAAATCACACATAAATTGAGGAACAAAGCTATTTTATTTCAATATTTCTCAAAGTGATACATTATACAAAGCATAACATTAAATATCAAAGTTTACAGTTTTACTGTATGTAATCAAGTGGTGAGATCACCCCTCCATTGCAAAGGGTTAATCTTCTATTTTATCTTTGCTACAAGAATGTAAATGACATAAAAGACATAAAACGCCCAAGTTTTCCATAGCAGTTAACGTGTTAAACAATTTCCAACATGTTTTCGCCGAACATGCAAGTGATCTCAAACTTTTGACTGGCGGTGTATATCCACAGACCATCGTTCTTCTCGAATGTGGCACGCGGCTCTAAAACAGAAGGGTCGAAAAATGAGCGGCGTTGTGTTCACCACTCGCCCCCTTCGTCCCTCGCGGGCCGGCTTTTAATTAACTTGTTTGTTTGTCCCGCGTTCTGGAATGCCTGAATCGGCCGCTCGCCGCGAAATTGCATTTTTCTTCGCGGCGGTTCTTCGTTCCCGCCGCGAGTTTTCGAGGGAAATTTCACGGAGAACAATGACCGGCCACGCTAAGAGCTTCGTTAATCGTCCCGCCGAGAATCGAACCCACCGTGTGCAGTTGAAAGACGCGGATATACATGCTGCTCCGTCGATAAGTTACCTCTTAGCTGAAAGGCATTTTTGAAATGACTGTGTTTGTTTAATTGTTCTTTTTTTGTGAACTGCTGATAATTTGACGGATTGTTGTGGTGAGATTGTGGTTCGAGCGTTGCTAGAAATTCGTGTTTGATGATTAAATAACCTTCTGCACTCCAGAACTGATGTAGATATTCTTTGAAATTAATTAATGAGATACGATACATAAATTGAGGAGCTACTTTTTTAAATATTTCAAGTATTGATGCATTATACCAAGTTTAACATTATGATTTTATAATTTTGCTATGGCAAATTAGATAATCACTTCTCGAATGCAAAGTGTTAATGTATAGAGTTGTTAGAGTGTTTATGAATGATAGTATCTCTGCGAAATGAGGTTATAGGGAAATTAAGTAATAATCTTTATGATATATTGATGAGTTCAGAGTTGTAGTATATTTAATCGGTTTTAGAGCTAAAGAAAATTCTAAAATTGTTTCTCATTCATTTTAGGAATGACATAGTTTCAATTTTCGAGAAATTTGGTTAATAATATTTCTTTTCTACCAATCTCAGCCCCTAGGACTCAATTCGTTTAACCCTTAGTTCCCTTAGAGAATTCATTATTCTTACCAAAATGAAACTACAAAAGTACACGAAAAGCTAGCAAAAGAATTCCTAGGAACACCTCGGAACTGGCAAGATTTTATCGATTTTCATTAATCACATGTTCTCTAATTAAACCGCAATTCCCCAGCCACCAATTAGCAATATACACGTCAAATACCAATGGAAATAATTTACGATTAACATCTCAACGCGAAAACCCGCAAGACGATTCGGGGCGGCGATAATGCCCGAGGCATTCGCGTGGAAAACGGTAAACTAACAATCGGAATAGAGGCGAAGTGTGCGCTCTCCGTCGGTTGATCGTTCGACATCAAAAAGCCGTGGCGAAGTTTGTTAACAGTGAATCTCGCCTTCGAGGAATCAGCGGTAACGATCGCCCGGTGGAAACGGGATAATAAAGCGTTCTCAGTTCCACGATCCCGGTGGTTACGCGCCGGTAGTCCAATTTATAATAGACTGGAACACGGTGTGGATTTAACTTCGAATGTAGGCCACCCAGTGTCAAGCGAACGCGCGTCCGGATCGCGACTGAGCCGACTTCGGGACGTTACTATCGGGACACCGGTGTGCAGGGATGGGATCAAGTTCAATACGGAGAGCTGACGATTATAGTGGTGTAAGTTGGAATTTTTATACTGCAATCTCAGAGAATAACATTCTTTCATATGTTCGGGGTTCTATATATTCACTGTCGTTGACATTTTATGTCAACTTCATTCATCATACTTGAAATGATAGTACTTTGTTTTGGCGTTATATGCATTGTAGAATCTTTTATGAACATAATGGTGTAAGACTAACTACAGGTGGCTAATTATTTGAAAAGGTGAGAGTCATAATGGTGTAAATCAGAATTTTTATACTGTAATTTCAGTGAATACTATTTTGTCAAATATTGAGGATTCTACGAATTCTCTTTTATAGACATTTTATGTCACAACTACATTTATTACTGGGAAATGACAGTACTTTGTTTTATAACTATATTAAAAGAGCAAATCCTTTGTAAATACAATGGTGCAACAGGTCGCTATTCACTTGAAAGGTTGAGAGTCATAATGGTCACTTTTATGATGTTCTAGCGGTTACTATTACAAAAACTTCCATGTATTACCATTATTTAAAGAAATACATTTATAAGCTACAGAACTGTCAAAATACGTACTCTTTTAAAAATGAAGGTATAGATAGTCATGCGATAATTACATTTACCGAGGAATTTACCATTTGATTTCATTTCCTTGATTTTAATGTTTCAAGTTGACTATGCAGAAACAACTTGATTACAGCTTGATTGTTCACGATGTATAATATCAAAATACAAATATTAAGTTTAACACGTTGAATGCCAACCAGATCGAATTAATATAGTTCACTTAATTAAACGACGATTATTTGAAAACATTCCGATATTATAAATAATGCTACCTACTGCGGTGGCATTCGGCTAGATGAACGCGCAATAGAAATAATACGCTCTAATCAAATGATTTAATATTATATTTTTTCCATTTTGTGTATTTTGCTCTATGAAATCGTGCGGCATTCAACGTTAAAAATAATGTTGTAAATAGCGTTGTCACGGTAAACGGAACCTCACAGCGCAAAGGATTAAATTCGTCTGATGGCCCTAAAGAAACATTTATTCGAAACAAATTATTCAAGTGTCCGATTGCGTCGTAGATATCAAGTAAACTGAAACCACTTTTTCACCGACTGAATGCTTTATCCGATCTCTGCCGCTGTGGTGTAATCGGCGAAGGGGCGGCGGGGCGAGTCGCGGAGGAACAGGTGCGGTCCGATTCGGCAGATTTATTCTTGAAACTTGTACATGTACACGGTCGGTTATTCTACACTAAAATTGGACGTGGTTGTGCCACGAATTTTGGCCCGGTCGTGGCTCGCGCGTGTTTGCTCGTTCAAGTCGATTCGACGACGACCGAGCCTCGACAACATTGAGTCCGAACGATATCAGGAAACTGTGAGACGGGTGATTGATTTCTTCTTAATGGGATACGACAAGGTAAATCTTTTCTGATTTAATGCTTCGTTGTTTTGTAACATGCTTCCTTCTGAATTTAAGAGGGACCGACGGACTCTAGAGGATTCGTAGTGTCGTTGATAGTTACTTAAGAAATAGAAATAGAAGGTATTATTTAATGACTACTTAATGATTAATCGTGTGGCTGTTGTATAATTGGGAACTATGCTGTTAAGTGGTTTCACTTAGTGGTTATAAATATAAATATAAATATAAATATAAATATAAATATAAACATAAACATAAATACAAATACAAATACAAATATAAATATAAATATAAATATAAATATAAATATAAATATAAACATAAACATAAATATAAATCATAAATAATATACAAATTTATAATATAAATATATTTATTAACATCCTACTTATTAACAGTAACCGAGAAACACTCAAATTTCATTTTCACAAACCAAGTCCCACAAAACACTGCATTCGCAATTTCCTCACTCGCATTGTTTCCATTTCCCTAACCACCAAAACACAACAAAATAAATACCCCAATAAAACGCAACACGCGAACATCACAAAATCACAAGGAAAAATCCTCAAAAACAGAAATCTCCTAATACCACAAATACATTTCCCAAGCAAAACACCCAAAAGAAATTTTCTCAAACATCCTCAGCTCACTTGCAACTTCTCCCCGATGCGAGGGTTGCGATACGCTCCGGTTCTTCGATTTGCATCAGAAATCGCCTATTTCGAGAACGTTTACAGTCGCGAGCGCGTGATCGTAGGCGCGACGCATTCCATTTGATCACTGGCCGCTGCGTTGACGGTGGGCTACAGTCACCGACTCGCGATGATCACGATCGATCCGCGCGGCTGCTCGTCGCGGAATCATAATTACCCGGCGGAACGGGCGGCGTTACAATGATCATGAACCAATTTCGCCGGCGGACGCGCGGCGCCCATACAAATCGGACAACTGTCCGCGCGTGGCTCATTCATAAGTTTATGGCGCGTGAAATGTGCTGCGGGAATTTACATACCGCCCGCGCGAGCGCCCGTACCGCTGCGATGTTCCCGTGTACCTTATAATCGTAACTTAGGCGAGGACGTTTACGACACTTTCGCGCGGAAAAGTGTGACGCCGTTAAAAACAGAGTCCGATGATCCCTGCTCGTCAGCCCGTGAATCACGACGCGACGCTTCCTCGTCGATGAAGCGAAGAGACTTTTCCCGATGGGGCTAGTTATTTTCGAATGCCTCGGCGATAGCGACCAGTCGTTGTTGCGTGTTAATTTGGAAAGAAAATCAAATTTTGGTTTCTCAACACATTGTTAACCACATTTGATATGGAATTAAATTGAATTTTTGATATTTCTCTGTAGAAACTCGAAGAGTGGATCTATTGAGACTTTAGTTGATTTACAATTCATTTTGCGTATTATCAGATCAATTTCTTTAATAATTTCTAAGAGAAACGTATGTTATCTGTTTAATAATTGAAAAGGAGGAATTATAGAGGGGTTATTTTGACCCGCATGGTAGTTTTCGTAATTCGTATTTTCATGTCCAACATTGTTGACCGGTCACGAGTTAATTTGTGTTTGCACTTGCAGCAGCCATTGGAATTTTTGAAACGTGGGGCAATATGAAATACTGTAAAAACGAAATATTCACAGTTGTATAAAAGATACGTCCAAAGTTTCATTTCGATTCATTACGTAGAAATAAAGTATATTGAAGTTTATGTAGATTGTTTCACTTTCATATTTTGTTATGAGATAATAACCTGTGGCATGGGGTAGTTTCTACGTGAAATCGCCGGTCAGCAATGTGTTAAGATTTATTCGAATGTTCTTGTATGTTGCATATCAGTTAATGTTAGTATTATGTTAATGATATTTATATTAAAGTTAATGTTACTATTGATATTAACCTCTTGCCCTATAACAACGTGTCAGACTTGTGATGGTGACATTAAAGAGAATTTGACAAGAATAAATATTACTCAATACTTTTAAATTGAATATTATTCTTCTGTTATCAATAATTATACTGCAGGGCAAACATATAATACGCCTAAAATTTTCCTCTTTTTTCAATAAATCATTAATGGTAAAGTAATTGTATCGATCATAGTTGAGAAATAAATCATAGAGCAAGGAGTTAATACTATAACAATAATTCTAATAATTATTAATAATTATAGTAACCGTAGTAGTGTAATAATAAAATTCTCCATCGTTGATTAATGGTTAATTTGACATTCCCCTTAGCTTACCCCCGCAAAATCGGGATAAACAAAGAATAGCAATAGAAAGATACCACGATTCAATAAAATTGAATTTAATGAAATATTCCAGTAGACCAAATTCAATAAAGCACCAACAGACCACTGATTACAAATCTAATCAGTAAAGAATCGAAACAGTAACAACTCCCTTAATCAACCGACAATCCCCACCAAAATCTCAAGCATCCGTCCCCTAAACGACCCAGATTCCGAGTGTCCAAAGTCCCCCAAGGCCGTTTAGAAGAGACCGACTCCAAAACCGATCGGTGTTGCGGGATCCCCAGTTGATCCAGCGATTTTTCACCTGGTTAGGGGCCGTGCGATCCCGAAGAGGAACCCGAGGCTCCCAAGTGAGAGATCGCGCGTCGCGCAGCGCGAGAAAGCGTCGGCTGCTCGTCGTTTCTGGAGTAATTTTAGATCGTCGAGATAGCGC